GAAATTAGCCAAATAACTAAAAATAGAAAAAATTAGCCAGGCATGGTGGCACATGCCTGTAGTCCCAGCTACCCTGGAGGCTGAGGCAGGAGGATCACTTGAGCCCAGGAGTTTGAGGTTGCTGTGAGCTAGGCCGATGCCATGGCACTCTAGCCCAGACAACAGAGTGAGACTCTGTCTCAAAAAAAAAAAAGAAAGAAGAACTGATAAAGAGAATTCTGAGGGAGTATCTACATTGAAATAAACCTGCCAATTCATTGTATCCATCAAAATTGTGTAACAGCTAATTTCAGCATAATCTCTATAGGAATTAACTGTGACATCTAAGAATGATTGTACTGGAGCATGAGTGAGTGCGTGTAATTGTGTTGTCTTACAAATCTCAGTATGCTGTATCAGATGAGCTCTTAACATTTCCTTCTTTAGATCTCACATTATGAAGACTGGCATTTATTTTTAATTCATTTTTATCTGAGTCCTTGAAAGGTAGTATAACTATATAAAAACTGATTTGCTACTACCCCAACACCTGTACCCTTCCAATATTACATGTTTCCATGAAGCATTTGGAAAAATGTCTTTCACAGGAAGAGGCAGCAGGAAAAGAATAACAAAATCAGTTTTAATAAAGATCGCTTAAAGAAACTTGGTTAGAGATTAAGTTTCTAGAATTTTGTGACAATATTATTTTTACTCCTGTCCATTTACATTTCAGATCCAATTTAAGAATGACTTATTGAAAGGTTTTTCTGTTCTCAAAATTATAAAAAATAAGTAATTAAATTCTGAAAAACTTGTACTTAAATCTAAGTTTTTAAGGCAAAACAGCCCAAAGAAAATTCCATCATTCAGCCTAAAATTGAAACAAGATAGAAATTCTATTGACTCATACAAAATTGATCATAGCAATCCACATTCTCTTGCATCTGCTACTGACAACTATGAATCTATAGTAGAAACCAAAAAAAAAACTACTTTCAAAATAATTTTTAAGACTGATACTCGCTGATTACCCTTTTGAAAAGTATTATATGTCACATATGCTTTAAAAACACGGACTCTCAGCCGGGCGTGGTGGCTCACGTCTGTAATCCTAGCACTCTGGGAAGCCTAGGCGGGCAGATTGTTTGAGCTCAGGAATTTGAGACCAGCCTGAGCAAGAG